CCAAACATAATCCAAAACTAATATAAAAATGGTCTGGCATGGAGAGAGAGAGAGAGAGAGAGAGAACTGGAGATAGACTTACGCCGGGCCTGTCTCCCCTACAGGGGGATGTTCGACGAAAAATTTAAAAAATACACCAACAAATAATCCAAAAATGATCCAAAAATTGTCTGGGGACTATTTTTGAGCATTGTTTTGCCATTTGGGGGCATCTTTGGGGTACTTTTTATTTTTCGTCGGAAATCCCCCTGTAAGGGGACAGGCCCGACTTAAAGATAGACTGCTGACGGACAACATCCTCCACACCTCTTCTCGCTGCCGACGTGATCCCCCCGGCGCCCTCAACTTTCAGGCTCAGCGGTTGCAGGTCACTGGCCGGCCTGTCTGCGCTTGGTGCGGAGTTGTGGTGCAGAGATGAAGCATACGCTGGGGCCGACGTGGTGAGGATGTCAAGATGGCCCCAAGAGGGCCCCAAAGGCCTCCAGGAAGGCTCCCAAAGGCCCCGAACCTGGACCCCCTCCGCCCCGCCTCCATCCGCCCTCCAGACCTGTACCCGAAGAGCTCCAGGCAAACTCGTAGAGACCCTTCTTCTTCTTCCCGAAGGTAGTGGCTGCCCTTCTTTGTGCAGCTGCATGCTGCTGCACACTCATGATCAGGGCCACCCCCCCTTGGCGACTGCTTCTGGACGGGCTGGTGGGGATACTTTTTGGTCCACAGGCTCGCGAGGCGGGTCGAAAACCGTTCGAACACTAGTCGGGCCGCGACTGGGCAGCAGGAATAGAAGGCAAGCGAAGCGAGCGAGCGGGCAGCCACTCAGAAGGAGAGCCAGAACCGAAACTTCCAAACCCGGTGGCGTTGGAAATCCGAGTGGCGACCCTGGTGGGGATACGCGACGCGTCTAGCATTGAGCCAGAAACCCCGCGATCTACCAAATCTCGACCTCCCTGGCCGGTCTACATCCCATCCACCAGATTGCGACTTCGCCATCCTGTCTACATGACCTGTGATGGGTTGCGCCAAAGGTTCGCCCCGCGGGCTACCGAATCGTGATTCCCCCAGTTCGTCTGTACCCCATCAGTTGCTGCGAGCCAGAAGCTGCGCCAGATACCCCGCGGACTACCACATTGCGACTTCCTGGCCTGTCTCTCTTCCATCGATTGCGCCGCAGATTCAGCCGTAGGTTTCAGCACGGGTTGCGGCACACATCCCGTGGGCTCCCAAATGGAAACTTGCCCCGCGTGTCTACTTTCCATACGTTGCGGTATACGTCGCTCGCCACAGGTTGCGCCAGACACTCCGCAAACTACCGAAGCGCGCTTTCCCTGGCTTGTCCACACTCCGCGGGATGCGCCAGACGCTGCGCTGTCTACCGAATCGCCACTTTCCTGGTGTGTCTGACTACATCCAATGCGTCATATATTGCGCCGTAAATTGCGCCACACACCCCGCGGGCTACCAACTCGCGCCGTTCCCGCTCTGTCAACGTTCCGTTCCATAGGCTGCGCCAAAGGTTCCGGCACAAGCTGCCGCATTCACCCAGCGGGCTACCGAATCGCGACTTCCCCAGTCTGCGCGCACTTTCCCGGTATGTTTACATCACACAAACTGCGCCATAGGTTGCGCGCTGAAGGTTGCGCCAAACGCCCCGCGGGCTACCAAATCGGCCGATGCACTGCGTGCGCCCCAAGACATCTCAGAAATGAGAAGCATTTCACCTCACTCGCTGTATATATATATATATATATATATATATTCCTTCTACCTATCAAATTACAAGGAAAAACCCGGCATGTCACCGACACCCCCCCCCACATGGACCCCAGATGAACCCCACAGGCCCCCAAGAGAGCCCCACAATGCTTCGAGGCGGCCCAAAATGCCCCGAAGAGAGCGACACGAGGCCTACATCGGGAGCCCAAGACAGCAGAAGGCACTTCCCAGACGTCCTCTGCAAGGCCCAAGAGGCCTCAAGACGGCCCCAGAGTGCTCCAACAGGACCAAACATGGGCTCAAGACGGCCCAGGATGCCCCCGCAAAGACCTCCAATACGGCCTCAGCAGGCCAAAAACCTTAATTTTCCGTTGGTTTTTGAACGACTCTGTGCTTCTCGCCTTTTCTGGCCACGAACGGCCCAAGAATGGTCTGCGAGCTTCGAGGTCGCCCCGAAATGGCCTCCAGGCGGCCCAATGGGGCCCCAAGATGGGCCAATAAAGCGCCAAGAAAGGCAGGGAGCGCCCAAAAGACCCCTAAAAGACCTCCAAGAGGGCCCCAACAGAGCCACGGGATGCTTCAGAGAGGGCCCGAGAGAGCCCCAACACGGCCCCAGGACGGCCCAAGCCCCCCCAGACAGCCCACGAGGGCCCCAGGACAGCCCAAGAAGGCCCTCCGATGGTATACAAAAGCGCCAACAGGAGCTCCACTCAGTCTTAGAGCCGTCAAATTCATTACACTCTGATTGACCTGAGCCGTCGTCCTTGGCTCGGCTGGCCGCGCGCCGAATGGGCCCGCGTGGCAGAGAAGGAAAAGGAGCAGGAGGCGGGACGGAGGAGAAAAAGGAGGAAGAGGAAGGAACGGTGAGGATAGCGAGAAACAGGAGGGGCCCCAGGAAGACGGAAGGAGGGCAAGGAGGAGCAGGAGGAGGGGAGGGCAAACGGCGGAAACAGAAGACAGCTTTCACTGGGCCCCGTGCTCTCGCCGAGGCGCCGGCCACATCTCTCATTCAATATCGTGTTGCCGCTTCGCTCGCGGGACTCCCTGCCTCTACCAGGTCAGCATCCCGTCCTCCAGCATGCGGCCGCCGACTTTCCTCTCAATTCTTGACGCTTCGCGTATACCCACCTTGAGTCTGAGTTAGTCGCTCACGCTCGCCCTCTCCTCCTCTCTTGCCACCTGTGTCGCTTGTGGTTTGGCTGGAGCTTGGCGCCGAAACGGCGACTTCTCCCCGCCGTCCCGCCGCCGGTCGCCGCGCCTTGGCGTCCCCACCCGCTGGGATGTCTGTGCCGGTCTCCTGGCGCTTAATGTGGGTCATTTTGTCCCTTGCATGTGCATACGCCTCTGCGGCCAATTATCTTCGTTCCGCGCCCCGAACGCTACCCCGCTTCTTGACCTTCGCCAGGGAGCCGCCAACCAAACAAAGTATCCTCACCTTGATCACCTGGTCGCGCTGTACGCGTCCTCGCTTGTGGCTGGCTGGAGCTTGGCGCCTAAAGGGCGACTTCTCCCCGCCGTCCCGCCACCGGTCGCCGCGCCTTGGCGTCCCCACCCGCCGGGATGTCTGCGCCAGTCTTTGGCGTCTAATGTGGGTCATTTTGTCCCTTGCATGTGCATACGCCACTGCGGCCAATTATCTTCGTTCTGCGCCCCGAACGTTGCCCCGCTTCTTGACCTTCGCCAGGGAGCCGCCGACCAAAAAAGTATCCCCACCAGCCCGTCCAGAATTGATTGCCAGCTTTCCCGAGGCCTGTTGGAGGCTATCCTGAGCCATGCTCGACTAGAGTCTGTCAGAAGCTATTCTGAGCCATGCTCGGCTATGTCGGGCCATATTCAGGCTTTCTTGAGGCCTCTTGGAGATCTGTCGGAGGCTATCTTGAGCCATGCTTGGCTATCTTGGGCCATTTCGGAGGCCATCTTGGGCTATCTAGGGCTCTCTTGGAGCCATCTTGGGCCAAGAAGGGCGGGGTGGAGAATCTTCAGGAGAGGCTGGGAGGCCTCTCGGGGCCGTCTTGGGCCCCATTGTTCAAAAAGAGCGGGGGTCCTCAATTCAGGTCCCCCCCTCGGAGGCTCTCAAACGGCGTCTTGGGGACGTGTTGGAGCGCTCTTTGGAAGCCTCTTGGGCGATCTTGGGGCCGTCTTGGGCCTTCTTGGGCCCCTCTTGGGGCTCTTTTGGGCCATATTGGGGCCATCTTGATGCTTCAGGGGCCCATCGGAAGCGAAAAGACGAGAATGCCAAACACATGGACTTTCCTTAAGCTTTTGAAGGGTTCTGGCTTCTTGGAGGGCGCCGTGGAGGGCTCGAAGGGCACTTGGATCCGTCTTGAGGACTCTTGGAGGTGTGTCGGAGGCTATATTGACCCATCTTGAGGTATCTTGGGCCATCTTGGAGGCCATCTTGCGACTTGGAGCGCCTCTTGGAGCCATCTTGAGCCGTCTTGGACGCTCTAACGCCTCCATCCCCCCCCCTCCAGGTCCAGGGGAAGGTTACCCCTCCCCCGAGCAGGGGAAGGAAGGGGAAGAGAGAAAACCAAACTCGTTATACCACCGTAGCCCTAAAGGGCTGGTGGGACTTCCACCTATAGACTTCCAGCCTCCATCAGCTCAGCACTCCGACCTCTAGCGTCCGGCATCCGACTTTCCACCTTCACCTCCATTCAAGCGTCCACCAACGCTGCGCCCTGAGCCCCGCCCCGGGCGCTACCGCGCACTCGCCTCGCCTCGCCCCCGCTCGCACAATTCCCACACACCTCATTGAACAATTGTGTTCTCGCCCGCGCCCAGAAACATCGTAGGTGCAAGGATCAAGATTAGAAGGCGAAGCGCAGCGAGCCTTAAAATCTTGTATATATATATATATAGAGAGAGAGAGAGAGACAGAAAAAAAAAACAGCGGGAGGGAACCCGTATACGGAGCGGACGAACCAGCCCTCAGGATACTGTAGACGAAACGATGTCGAATAGTGGACGATCGTCGTCGCTGATCAGCATCGTCGTCTTCGTTGTCGTCCTGGTCGTCCAACCCAAATCAACTTAATAGTTGTCCCTGAACCCTTCCAGAGGTCCGTCCTGGTCAGTTGTCAGAGCCGCGTCCACCTGTGGCAACGGGAACCTCCAGAGACGCCCCAACGCCATCAGAACGTACACGTCGTCATCGATCGTGGTTCATCGTCGTCTTCGAAGAGGAGGACGCGGATACGGAGGCGCTGATTATCGATCGTCCATCGTCGCCGATCGCCGATCGAAGTCTCTCGTCGCCCAGGCCATCGCCCCCTCCTGGATGAGGGCGTCCCGGCGCCTGCAGGGCCTGTGGGGGGGCCACCTTGCTGTCCCCGATGGGGCCGAGCAGGCTCCTGAGGGCGGAGGGAAGGAGCAGGGGGATAGGCAGAGGGATTTCGTCACGTGATGCGAGGTTCCCCCATCCCCACCCGATCCCCCTCCTCGTCCTCCTCTTTATATCCTCCTCCTCCTACTCCTCCTCAAATTCGCATCACGCGACGGATTTCCAGTCGCCGAGGGGAGGGAGCAGGGAGGACCCAGACATCCAAACATCTTGCGCACAGTAGAAACATACAGAAGCACACACAAGCAAAACATGCACGTGTGTGAACATGTATGGATACGTGTGTGCTCCAAGGAGTGACGTATCGCACTGTGGAGGTGGGAGCTGTGGGGTGCCAGCGACGTGCTGTAAGCTCTGTGGCGTGAGCGATGCCCCGCAGCACCTGCGGTGTGAGCTGGAGGCGACGGCCACGCGGCGTGAGCTGGGCGGCGCAGCATGTGTACGTGTCGTGCAGGCCGTGCGGCGTGAGCTGGCCGGTGCAGGCTGCGTCGTGCACCCAGAGATCCGACGTCGTGATTTTTGTCACTACGGGGCCCCCGAAGGTCTCGACCCGTTCCCCGGGACTGGTGTTTCATACTGAGTCGTTTTTCGACGGTCCCGGGGCGCGGCGAGGGCCCCTGGAGGCCGAAAACTGTGAAAAACCTCCGCCTTGCTTTTTGTCAATGCGTTGGACCTCTGGGCAGGCCGCGGAGTGCAGGCAGCGCGGCGGGAGCTCCACGCACGGGGCGCACCAACCGAGCGCGCCCGCGAGGCGGCACGCCAGGCGGCACGCGCGGCGCAGCCTCCGGCGGAGCGCCCCGCGCGGGCGGCGGCGTGGAGAGGCCTCGCGGGCCCGCTCGGCTGCTCGCGGCAGGCGAGCGGGAGCCTGCAAGTGCGAGCACAACCACTGTTTGTGGGAATACGTGTGTGTATATAGGTGTATATATATATATATACCTATACGACCGCCCTTCGGGGGATGAGGAGGTTTGGGGGGGGAGGAGGGGGGGGAACCAACATCTGACTCAATCGATCGCACTATCGATCTCACTCAACGGGACACCACGGGACACCACGGGACACTTGTCGATCTCTCACCATCGATCTCCCTATCGATCTCACTCAACGGGACACCACGGGACACCACGGGACACCACGGGACACCACGGGCCACCACGGGACACCACGGGACACCGCGGGACACCTCTCGATCTCACTATCGGTCTCACTATCGATCTCACTCAACGGGACACCACGGGACACCACGGGACACCTCGGGACACCACATCGATCTCACTATCGATCTCACTCAACGGGACACCACGGGCGTGTATATATACACACACACGCCGGTCGGAAGAAAGAGGTAAAAACATGAAGTAAGAAGGCGTTGGGAGTAGCTTGGGCTTCCACCCGCCCCCTGAAGAGAAGGAAGGAAGGAAAACCACTCGGCACTTGAAGTAGGAAGGCGCCTAGATTAGATTAGGACTTGGGCATGCAAAAATAACTACTTTCAACGACCGGCTTGTATACATACGAGACTACAGTGGCGCCTCGCGCCATGCACCTTCGTCCCTCAGGCCTTGCAGCTGTTGGCACTCGGCGCCGTTCCCTTCTGGCCTTTGAGCTTTGGCCGTTTTCCGTCCAGTCCCCTCGCCCGTTCCTATTTGCTCTGGCCCTCGCTTTACAGATCCGTGCGCCACCCGGACTTCTGTTAGGGTGCGTTTTGATTCGAAATTCGAGGCGGACCCGATCACGTGGCGCGAGAACGCCACCTGGAGGCTCCGAAAAGAAATGTCGGACCAAAATCGCGTACCTTCTTCGCGCGATCCTGCGCCGGCTGGTGTCGTAAAGGCCTGTGCGTCGACTTTTGACACCGATTGGATCGTTCAGCCGTGAACGATCGCGCATTCCCGTTCAAGGCCGGCCGAGTCCTGACCACTGGCCATGTTCATTCCGAACGCCCGCGCCGGGGTCGGCCGCGTCGACACAACGCAAACCGACCGCCATGGAGGAAACATTGCTTCCAGGGGGTCGTTTTTGCTACCCCAGGGTCTGCCGCAGGTCTTTTTGCGGGGGCCCCTCGTTGGAGAACCTCTCGGGGGCCTCACGAATGCCCCTCAAGGGTTCGGGGACCCCTGGAGGCCTCCTGGGCGCCTCTTTGGGCCCCCTTTGGGGCCTTTTAGAAGCCGGCGGAGCTCACCTGCAAGGCGGCCCAGCTCCCTGATACGCCTGCACGCGGAGTGGCATACCTGAAGGGGCCCTGGGACACACAAATAAATACACACAAGTAAACAGGTTCCCTACATTTTCTCCTATGTTCTGGGTTTTTGTCTTCCCCCCCACTTCCCATATTTGCCAATATTTTCGGGGGAATCGACGATGACTTGTGTCTGCGTGTTTTTCCCCTCCTGATGCACGCGTGGGGCATGCCGAGTGACCCGCGAACTCGCGGAGTTGCTGGCCGGCGCCCAGCGGCGCGCGCCAGCGGGGGCGGAGGCCCGCCCAGCCGGGCGCAGGCCGGCGCGCCTCCTTGCCCTCCCCCATCTCCCCCCTGTCAGGGGAGGCACGAAGACATGCCAGTGCTGTCTGTCCTCCTTGGAGGCGCGCGTCCGAACCGAGCATTCAGTGTACCCATCTTGTAGTGCATCGTTTCCCGAGCGGTGTGGCCAGAAAGCGCCCACCACGACGCATGTACCATAGGATTTCTCGGTGCGCGCGTCGCCCCCGGGGGGGCGACGCACATATAGTATAAGTATGTTAGGGTGACGCCGATGTCATCATCATATCGAAATCTAAGTAGTGACCCCGAGCGTGGCTCTGAGCGAGGAAGAGGAGGAGGTAAGTGTGAGGACGGAGTCGGCGCGGCCGGAGTGATAACGAGAACCACGCTCCTCCGCGCCCTCCTCCTCCTCCTCCTCCTCCTCCTCCTCCTCCTCTTCCTCCTCCCCCTCTCCCGGCCCCCCTCCCCCTGTAGCCATTTTGGCTCAAGCCATTTTGGCTCAAGCTGGCCGCGGGGCTGGGTCGGCGCGCTTCCCGTTCGCGCGACACCTGGGCCTGGCATGGAGACGGTCGACGGCCGCTCCCGCATGGAGGCTCTGGCACCGCTGGTTCGCGCGGCTGTCGCTGGAGCCGCCGAGGGCGGCGGAGGGCGCCACCTCGTGGCGGCGGCGGTGGCGGCGGCGATCCGCACGGGCGTGACCCTGCTCGAGGCGCCGCTGGAGACCGCCGTGGACAAGGAGGTCGCGGTGCGCGAGGCGTTGGCACGCCCGCACCTCCGTATCCAGGTGACGGCTGGACTCGAGGGCTCCGAGCCCCGAGCCTCGGGGGCGTGCATAGCCTCCCGCAACTGGGCCTTGCACAACGACTTCGGAAAAGGCGCTGATGCGCCTGACTCACCGCAGGAGGCCAAGCGCAGGGCCCGCGGCCCGCGCAAGAGAGGCCGCCGCGGGGCTGGTTCAGCGATGTCGACCGACTCGTCGGAGAAGGTCGGGACCTCGGACACGGCGGACGAGCTATCGGAGCAGGCCAACGCTGGCTCGACGGGGGCCGTCAAGGACAGCGACGTGGGCGACGACATGACCCTCGGGCACGTGGAGGTGGAGCTCTGCACGGAGAAGGCCTTCGTGGGCCTCAACTCGACGTGCGAGCAGGAGCTCTTCGACCGCCTCCCGATGGAGCCCGATGCGAAGCTGGAGAAAGCTCTCAACCTGGAGGAGGACCTCGCCCAGAAGACCCTCGTCCTGCACGCCGCGGCAGCGACCGTCGTGAAGATCGAGGACGACCTGGCCGCGGCCATGAAGGCGGCCAACATCGCCACCCACGATATGCTCGTGGCGCAGAAACTCATCAAGGAGAGGGACTACGACGCCGTCCAGCCCGGCGTTCTCGGTGCTCCTGATGGGCTTCGTGATCCTCAGCGGGTGGGCACCCGTTAACAGCCCTCTGGAGGTCTTCGGCGGCTTCCTGGTCGTCGTGCTGCTCGTCGGCACGCTCGCTTCTGGTCCACGCGGCGCCCGTCGGCCTGTCCATGGACCTGTTCGGCGAGGGCCTCGTGTGCCCGTGCGTTCTGACTTCCGTTGTCGGGCATCTGAAATAGCCCTGAAATAGTCCTCCTCCTCCTCTTCCTCCTCCACGCCCCCCCTGCTCCTCCACGCTCCTCCGCCCCCTCCTCCTCCCCCTCCTCCTCCTCCTCCTCCTCCTCCTCCTCCTCCTCCTCCTCCTCCTCCTCGTCCTCGTCCTCGTCCTCGTCCTCCTCCTCCTCCTCGTCCTCCTCCTCCGCGCTCCTCCCATCCTCTGGATATGGGAAGCAACGCGAACCCCATCCTTTTGGGCATGGGGGGAAAAGGCGCTGTTCAGCGCAGGCTTCGCTGTCTGCAGGCGGGAGGTCCCCCGCAGGTCGGCCTAGCAGCCTGGCACGCCCGCGCGCGGGTGGCATGCCGAGCGGCCCGCCGAAGACTCCCCGCAACGGGACGCTCAGAAACAGTGGCAGGGAAAGTATGGAAGGTACCCCCCCCGTGCAGAAAGCAACTCGTGTTTTTCCACGCACACACACCTCCCCCCCCCACACCCCCAAAATTTCAATGTTCAATGCGGTGCCGATGTCTGCTTTCGAACTTCGCCGGTCGCGCGATCAACTTTGAAATGCGGGGCCCGGGGGCTCACGAAACACCAGTTGCTTTTCGCACGGGGTTGTAGGACGGAGAGGACACGATCGAGCGCGCGGAAGTGGGCGTGATACTAAGGAGTGAGGAGGCAGCGCGGGCGGTCCTCGTCGTCCCCGCGGCCCTGGTCGAGGACCGCTTGCTGCTCGTCCAGACGACCTGGCCGTTCTCGTC